ATATTTCAGGAAAGACTGCAGGAAATAAAGTAACAATAAATTACCAAATTGGATGCAGCTTATTCTACTCAGACTGTATTTCAGCTTTTCTCAAGACCTATTCTGAGTCAGTCACCTATCATTCACTATCCTAATAGAAGTCATAGTCAAAGATTCAGAGATTTACAGCACAGAAAAAGCCTGGCAGCCCATCACATCCACCTAACTTTTCTGATCCCATTTTCCTGCACTTGGCCCATAGCCTTGTATGTCTTGGCATCGCAAGTGCACATCTAAATACTTCTTAAATGTTGAACATTTCTGCCTCTACCATCCTTACAGGCAGTACTCTCCCACCACCCTCTGGGTGAAAAAAGTTTGTCCTTACATCTCCTCTTCACCTTTTCCCCTTACCTTAAATCTGTGCCATCAGGAGAAAAAGTTTCTTCTTTTCTGCCCTATCTCCGCCCCTCATAATTTTATACATCTCAATCATGTGAGCTCTCAATCTCTCCTGCTCTAAGCATTACGACACCAGTCTGTCCAATTTCACTTCATAAACTCTCCATCCCAGGCAACACCCTGTCAAATCTCCTCTACACCATCTCCACTGAAATCACATTCTTCCAATAATGTGGATTCCAGAACTGCACACAATACTCCAGCTTCAATAAAGAAGTGCTAGGGATTTTTCATGTCTAAATTGACAGAAAGGGAACAAAATCATTCCCAACATAAACATGCAAACTCTATTGTCAGACAACAGGCAGAGTTGTATTTATATAGTGCCATTAATGCAGGCAAACATCTGTCTCGGTCAGCAGCCTCTTGCTCCTACATCTGTCAGTATCAGGTCTTTGATGGGTTTGCAAACACAGCTGGATATCACTAGAGCACAGTTCACTATAAAACACTGCTTATGGCATTCAAGAACCCTCCATGCATGTTCTTGTTCTGCCCAGTGCCATTGGTCTCATGAGAAAATGCATTCAATGATGGATAGATTGACTCTTGAGGACTTCATTGTCTGTGAAATCACATCAATCCATTCAAGAAAACCACTCTGTACATATGCATTTAAACAGAGATACATAGTGAATGGTACGACCAGACATTCTTCAAGAGGCAACCAAAAAGAATTGCTGGTCTCAGCCTGTTGATTGCATATGTCCTCAGTGACTCCGGCATATAATGCTACCTAGAAAGGCAAACCATTCCACCTGATGTAAGGCTGCGACTGTCCATGGTGATATATAATGGATTGCAATTTCCTCAACATTGTTATTAGCACAATATTCTGTTTACCAGTTCATTAGTAACGTTTTTGTTGCCATAAGGAAACAGTTTACAATGATCTATATTGTTTCCTGCATGTTTAACAGAAAGGCACATATGTTAGTGAACGGAAGCTCCACTGTCAGTTCTTCTGCAGTTTTGGTTTGCACAGGTTGAAGAGTCTGTCATCTGTTCAGAGGTAGATGTGTCTGCTTTCCTTCAAGCCTACCCTTACTTTTTGATGCATCAAACCAAAGGAAAGAAGAGGGTCAGTGGCAGAACACCTCTTTGGAGAGCTCTCCATCTTGCTTGACCTGACTTTCCTATAATTAAGAGAGACTAGTGAGGAGCCTTAGAGGATGTGCCAGTCTAGATGATACCTTCGAAAGTTTGTCCTGACTGACTGTATCACATGCCATAATGAGATCTAGAAAAGTACTGGGCAGGCCTATGTTGTTTTTCCTCTACTTATCTCCTAGATTTGTTTCTGCACAAAGATCAAGTCTCTCATGTTCCTATTGGGCCCAATGCAGCTCCAGCTTTCAGGGAGACTTTCTTCCAGCTATTATTGAACAAGTCAATTTTGAAGCACTGTGGCTAAGATTTTGCCTTTAAATGGTAGTGAGATGATACATCAATGGTTTAAATAGCCTCGGTAATTTTAAAGGTCCGATGCACTGTCCATTTCCCCCCGCGTGCTGTAAACAGATCAATAAGCCTACAAACAGCTCTTCCCTGGTAATGGACTTTGGCGAGAGTCCTGTTTATTTTGGGCAATGTGTGAGATTTTAATTGTACAATAGCAGTCTTAATATCTTCATGGGTTGGTGGCTCACTTTCTTCTGGAAAATGTTTGCAATGGACACGTATGGAGGATTCTTGGATGCCTTAAGCAGTCATAAAGTACGAGATAAATGTTAAAAAAAATTCTCATTTAAGTAATGTAGAATGCTCCATCACGACGTGAGTGGAGTCTAAAGCATAACTATAAGACGTATGAGAGTAATAAATAGGGAGAATGGTAAACATGGAATTCAAATCTATGTAGAAAACCTGGTATTCAATTTTGGTGAACGAGATTTGCCTTTATTTCAGATAGTCATCTCCAAGTACTTCTCTAGAACATACTCCCAGAAACCACTGCTCTGACTTCCAAACCACTGTGCAAACCACCTCCAGATAAACAGTATCATTGTAGAAATGTTTTATTTGCTTGCAGCATAAAAATATTTCATAGCAAGTTACTAAAAGTATGAAATTTCAGAACATAACCTCCTCCTCCCAGCCCCTCCCTACCAGAAGGTTCTTTCAGATTCTTTAAGGTTTATCACCTCAGACTATGAACATATGCTCTTTTGTTTAGAGCAAGATGCCGGTGCAATTTATCTGTTGTTTGTGGAAACTTCAGAAAACATCAAGTGTTATTGTCAATTAGTGTACACAGACTTATTCTCAGTTTCTCTTTCCTATCCACTCCAATTTTTATATTTTCCTCACTTCAGGTCATTCAAGGGCAGATGGTGAGGAGAAAGGGGATGTCACAAAGTCTAAAGCACACCTTTCCAATCACCACCAGTGAGCAGAAAATGCTTTTGTAAAGGGTGTAGTTTGAAAGCAGTAGCCTGAAATTGCATTGAGTTCAGCCAGATTTTAGCAACATGAGAAACAGCCAGAAATTTGACTCTCAGTGCCACACAATCTCACCGTGGGAAAGAAGTACCAAATCCACCCCAGTCGGAACATGAATCAAGCCCCATTCTGTTGGGACCAATCTGATCCATTCCATCTATCTTGCCAACTAAGTAAACCACCCTTGTTCAGTATTTGCACCAACTGGGATCATAACACAACCTGACAATAATCTTTCTGAGCTCCTCCACCACTGACCCTTCTGATATCTACCTGCTCTCCACCCCTCTCCCCAACACTGTCCTTTCCCATCCCCTGCTACAGGCTTTTCTGATCTTTCCCACTTCCTGACACTGGCCCTTCCAATCTGTTATTCTCAACAGGACCTTATATATCCAGCTCTCAATGTCTTCAAATTAATTTTGCTATAGGAAGACCACTAAAGCAATTTATAAGCAAGTACTAAAAATATCATGCATAATGATGGCTGCTTTATACAAAATTCATTAATTCCAAAACATTTTTAAAATTAGCTGATTCAACTCAACTTGAAATATCTAGATTTATATTTGTTTGGACTTCAGCTATAAACAATGAAATAAAGTCAATAATCTAGTGGTTAAAAAGAAAATAGTGACCCTATGCTTCAAGGGAAATCAGTTGGGGTCTTTTCAAAGAGAAAATAGAGGATATAGAAAGTGAAACTGTTAACAGCACAACAGAATCAAGAATGCTTCAAAGGATTTTCTCCTGAGGGGTAGAAATACCATCTTCACAGTTTTCATTAAGACCATGTGCATAACTGGAAAACACCTACTCTGGGAAACATCTAAAAGTTACAAAAGACAAAAAATAAACATATGCAAGGGAAGGTGAAATAAGAACTTCTTAAATTTTACCAAATACCTTTCTTAGACTAAAATCAACTTCTAATTACGAAATTCATACAAGCAAATATATCTGCCAATCAAGCTTGTTCCATGATTAAAGAAGATCACAACTGATCTGGTTGTGGCCTCAAATCTACTTTCCTGTCAACACCCACTAACTGCTGGCACCTTTTTAAAGCCAAGAATCCATCTAACTCTTACTTAAAAATACTCAATGATGCTGCCTCTACTGTTCTCTGAACAGAGAATCTCAACCCACAAAAAAAAACTTATCACCATCTTAAATGGGAGTCTTCTTAAATTTTTAAACTGCACCCCCTGATTCTAGTCTCTCCGACAAGGGAAAACAACCTCCCAGCATCCATCCCCCTCCCCCCCGCTAAGTGTCTCAGAATCTTGTATGCCTCAATTAGATTGCCCTTCATTCTTCAAAACTTCAATGAATGAAAGGCCCAATTTGTCCTCATAAAATAATTCCTTCATCCTAGGAACCAGTTAATTGAATCTTCTAAATGAATTGTTTCCAACACAATTATGATTTTTTAATTAAGGTGGCTAAACTGTGTACAGTCCTCTCCAGTATCACCAATGCCCTGTACAACTGTAGCAAACTATCCCTACTTTACATTTCATTCCTCTCACAAAAAAATTATAACACTCCACTTGCCTTCCTACTTATGTGCTGCCTGTGCACTAACGTTTTGTGATTCATGTACCAAGACACCTAGCTCCTCTATACCTCAGCCTTCTGCAATTTGCATTTTCTCACATTACACTTTAATCAGCAATTTTTTATCCACTCACAAACTGCTTCCCTTTGCAGACTCCTTAAGTCCTCTTCAAAACTTAACTTATTATCTCACCCTGTCTCATCAGCAAGTTTAGCTGCCCTGCACTTAGTTTCTTCATACAAGTCACCAATATAAATGATAAATAGTTGAAGCCACCAGCACTGATCTCTGTAGCACTCCACTCATTACATCTTGGCAACCTGAAAATGACTTGTTTACGTTGACCCACTTCACTTCCTACTGATTAACCAATCTTTTGTCCATGCTAATAAGTTACTCTTACACCAGGAGCTCTCATTTTGTATACTCACGTTGAGACAGTGCGGAAAAAAAAGGTCAGTAATTACAATGACTAATTCCAATTATTTAAACATTCTAGAGTCAAAATGTAAACTACAGAAAGGATAAAAAGAATGTTAAAAAAAGCTATACTTACTATTCCAAAACTAGAATCATTTCTGATGCTGTTTCGTACACTTCATACAGGTTGATGACCCAAGGACTGGACTCAGCCAATTCTAAGGCTGCAATCTCATGAATAATTTCCATTCGGCAGTCTTGACCCTTCCTTCTTTTCCTCATGAATTTGGCAGCATATTCCTTCCTTGTAGCCTTTTCAATACATTTTTTTACGACTGCAAATTTACCTCTGTGCAAACAAGAGAGAGATATTTTTCAGTTTAAATGGACCGAATCATTCAAAATTTTGCCATTTCAATACAGACTTTAAATAGTTACAACTTGCTTTTAATTCTAATCCAAATGAACAATTATAAATACTGCTAGTTGGCAAATTGAGAAATAATGCTCTACTTTTCTCTGCTTTAAACAGGAGTTCAAATCTAAGAATCAGAAAAAGACAGGCATGAAACCAACAATTGTGGTTAGCTTTCTTTTGTTGCTCTTCAGATGATTCCTAAAGTACATGGGTTCAAAACAAAGTATACCCTGTTTAATATTTAACAGTCAGCTTTGAAAGTTATAGTGAAGCAGAAAATTAGCAATAATACGTACTTTTCCCAGTGGCTAGCCAAGAAGGTGCATAAACACAACCATGATCTGGTAGAGTAATTGAACTACAATCTCACTAAAATTGTATGTAATATTTTAAATGAGTATGTTCTTCTCTCTGTTGCCATTATCTTCTACACAAAAATAAGTTTAAGTAAACCATACATAAAATTAAAAAGATTTAAAATTGGGATTATAAACTACAATTAAAAGAGAATTCTACAATTAGAACATGATTTAGATTTAATGAATACCAAATTGGAAGAAGCCATAATTTAACTGAACAGCAGGATGGGTAGGTATTACAAAGAACAAAGAATGATACAGCACAGGAACAGGCCCTTCGGCCCTCCAAACCTGCGCCAACACATTTTGCCCTTCCATACTAAAACTGTCTTCACTTATAGGATCCGTATCCCTCTATTCCCTTCCTATTCATGTATTCATCCAGTTGCTTCTTGAATGCACTATTGTCTGCTTTCACCATCTCCTCTGGCATTATGTTCCAGGTACTCACCACTCTTTATGTGAAAGATTTGCCTTGCACATCTCCTTCATCTCTTTTAAATTTGACCCTCCCCCCACCCCCGCAACTGCTTGAACCTGTATCCCCTAGTAATTGACCCCTCCACCCCGGGAAAAAGCCTGACTTTCTACTCTATCCATGTCATTCACAATCTTATAAACTTCTATCAGGTTGCCTCTCAACCTCCTGTGTTCCTGTGAAAACAAACCCATTCTATCCAATCTTTCTTCATAGCTAAAATCCTCTGTACCAGGCAATATACTGGTAAACCTTTTCTGTACCCTCCCCAAAGCATCTACATCCTTCTGGTAGTGTGGTGACCAGAACTGTATGCAATATGGCCTATCTAAAGTTCTATAAAGCTGCAGCATAACCTGCCTATCCTTATACTTAATGCCCCTTCCAATGAAGGCAAGCATGCCATAGGCCTTTTTTACTACCTTATCTACCTGCGCTGCCACCATCAGTGATCTGTGGACCTGCACACCCAGATCTCTCTGCATATCAATACTCTTAAAGGTTCTGCCATTCACTGTATAATTTCCACCTATACTTGACCTTCCAAAATGTATCAACTCACATTTGTTTGGATTGAACTTCATCTGCCATTTTTCTGCCCATGCCTCCAAGCGATCTATATCCTGCTGTATCCTCTGACAAACCTCCACCAATCTTTGCATCATCTGCATGCTTACTAATTAGACCAGCCATGTTTTCTTCCAAATTATTTATGTAGACCACAAACTGCAGATGTCCCAGCACTGATCCCTGTTGAACACCACTAGTCACAACCCTCCATTACTAAAAACATTCTTCCACCCCTATCCTCTGTCTCCTATGACTAAGCCAGTTCCGTATCCATCTTGCCACTTCACCCCTGATAGCATGTGACTTTACTTTTTGTACCAGTCTGCCATGCCCTTAAGATTTAAATCCAGGACATATTCAAGTGAACATTGAATAGTTCAATTTTGAACAGTTCAAGGTAGAACCATTCATTCAAAAATTGCCAATTAAAATGAAAATTCAAAACAAAAAAAATGATTCACTGCTTGCTACCAAGACTTAACTTCACAATGCATTCTTTGGATGCAGAAGTAAAAACTCACATGCAGTTACAATTGCTCAGATTAACAATTTACAAAAGGCCACAGATACTTGGATTTTCCTGTTTTAGCTGCTTTCCCCCGTAAGCACTTGCGCAATAACCTTAAAGTAGCAATCAGATTAGCAGCTAAACATCACAATTTTGCTCCACATCTCTGACTGAGCCACTCTGTGGGAGAGTGATTAGCAAATTTAAAAGCAAGCTTAATTTGAACAAATGCAGTTCAAAAAGCTGAACATTCTTGGTCTTCTGGAAGGTGGACCAGGTTTTATACTGGCATAGCTAAATACAGCTGCAAACAATTTAACTTTGATTTTCTGCCACTGCAACTCTGTTCTTGCAAAACCGTTTCTGACCACATTTGAATACAGAGTTAGATGAATATTTTTAAAATTACTTATTGTGGAAATCACTAGGTTTCAAACACAAGCAGAAAGGGAAAAAAAGACAGAGTTTGGTACATGAATGCATTTTCCAAATTTTAATTTGTCATATGTTTATTGCATTACCTTACTTTCTAAAAATAGTCACATGAGAGAAGTTGTAATGGGTTCAATCATTAGGACTCATGTCACAACAGGATGGTGTTTTGCTACTCAATCATGAGGTCATTTCCCACCTTGGCACATTGTCAAAAGGAAATGGACTACCAGGCTAGGAACAGCATCAACAATGTGGACTAGACTAGTTTTCAGATACCAGTCCAAATGTAATGTCATTTTCCACTGTCAATCACATGGACTGTAACCAAACAGCCTTGAGATCAGAGATCTTAAAAAAAAGTGTAACAATGATCTTTTCACAACTGTGTTATTATTATTGGCAGGCATTAAGTGCTAACAGAAACCTAGGGACTGAATAATGCTTTCAACCCAGTCTGGCTCAAACCTGTGGTTGGAAACATGCCTTGGGGTCAGGTGTGGCACTCAAGGTCACATATAGTTTGGTTTAACATCAAACTATTGCCAAGAAGAGGGATGCAAAGCAATACACTAGAACGGTCAAGCATATGGCAAATGGTTCCCGGTTTCCTTTTCAGGATTCTAGACATTGCCCTTTGAAAAATGTCTGCTGCAGCAGAGATTCAAATGATAGATGACTGAAGCAATAGCTCCTAAACAGTGTAATAGTCAGCAATCTTGACTCTTGATCTAAATGAATCTGCCAGAACCATTTCAAGGCCAACATTTTCAATCAAATGCTAAGTATATTAAATATTAAGTGCAGTTGAGTGGACATATCTGTATGCACAGATCCCCTGTGGCATTGTTCAGTGAATTAGTGAATACTGTCACCATAAATAGGGTTATTGTGCTGAGTTACAATCACATATAATCATACCATTGATGTACAGTAACTAAATAAGTCAACTGCTATTTTTGCCACATGGCATTTTATCAATTGTTTGAGGATTGATTTCTGAAACATGACCTTATTTTGAGAAACTATCACTCAGCAGCCTTTGGTTGCGATGTTGATAAATAAGCGGCCTGGAGTATTTTAGTTGGAATCTTTATTCTTTGGAGATATGTGGGGAAAATGTTAGGATTATGGAATTTAATGTGCTTATAATGAAATTGCTTCAATATCATGATGTCATGATCACATATCTCTGACATCAGCAAGGGAGCTGGCTCTGGTCTAGAATGAACATGTGAAGAGAGAGGTCTTAGACATTACACTTGAAAATTGTATTTGATAACCTAAGTACATGCAAACAAAGGAGTTTTACAGGAAATAAGAAGTTGAAGCTGAAGAGTCTTACTTAGCAATAAGAAGCGAGCAGCCTCAGGGACAGTGTGTGTGCAGACACCTGCTGCCAAATATACACCAGATTCTCTTTCAATGCTCAGGAATCAGTATTGATTTAACTCACAGTGGAAAGCTTGTAGTTCTAGGGAAAACAAAACCTCCAGAACCACAATCTGAAGATGAAATAGTGTCAAGAGACAGAGCTGAAAGGGAAAACTCAAAAAAGGTAGGACAGGATTTCAGAGGACTTTTAAAATAAGGCTGAGGAAACAAAAACAGGAAGACTCTTAAGGTAGACTGGGACTACAGAGAATTTTGAGAAATGGAAAGAAAAAGAAGACTCCGAAGGCTGCGGATATATCTTAAAAGGATTTCAAAGTATCACTGGTTAGGCTAGCATTTATTGCCCATCCAGAGGGCAGTTAAGAGTCAACCACATTGCTGTGGAAAGTTTTTGAAAAGATTTGTAGCTCGGGTTGTGGATGAGGTTGTAGACTTGCTCGCTGAGCTGGTGTTTTTGATTGCAGACATTTCGTCACCCTGCTAGGTAACATCGTCAGTGCGCCTCCGGTGAAGCGTTGGTGGTCTGTCCCGCTTGTTATTTATATGCCTCTGTTTGTTGGGGTGGTTGGCATCACTTTCGGTTCTGTTTTTCAGTGGTTTGTATATTGGGTCCAGTTCAATGTGTTTGTTAACGGAGTTCCGGTTGGAATATCAGGCCTCCAGGAATTCCCTGGCATGTCTCTGTTTGGCTTGTGTGATTATGGATGTGTTATTCCAGTCGAATTCGCGTCCTTCTTTGTCCGTGTGTATTGAGACCTGTAAGAATTGATCGTGTCTCTTGGTGGCTGGTTGGTGTTCATATATCCTTGTTATCAGTTTTCTTCCAGTTTGGCCTGTGTAGTGTTTCTCACAGTCCTTGCATGGTATTTTGTATATTATGTTGGTTTTGTTGGTTGTGGGTATGGGATCCTTTACATTCGCCAGTAGCTGTCATAGGGTGGCTGTTGGTTTGTGAACTACCCTGATACCTGAGATAACAAGGTGTGGGGCTGGATGAACACAGCAGGCCAGGCAGCATCAAGGAGCAGGAAAGCTGACGTTTCGGACCTAGACCCTTCTTCAGAAATGGGAGAGGGGAAGGGGGCTCTGAAATAAATAGAGAGATGGGGAGGGGTGATAGAAGTGGATAGTGGAGCAGATAGGTGGAGAGAAGATGGACAGGTCAAGGAGGCGGGGATGAAGCTGGTAA